TCCTTTTTCCTACCATACTCTCTTTCATACTCTTTCTTCCACTCGCTCGCGTCTACTCTTTTTCTCCTTTTTCTGCCCTCGTCATCTTCAAAGACGAGTCGACGTTAATTTGAAGCGCTACTTCGTTTATGCCGCTTCGAGCGGGGAAGAAGCGAAAATAATTAAGAAGCGGGATGAAGGAACTAGACAGGCGTTTTTTGTCCTCTCTCTTTTTCGACTGCCTGGCTGTGGTTGATCTTCATCTTCAATATTCTGGACAACGCAGATATCGGGTCATCCTGAACGTTTCAGCTATCTTTGAATCTCTAGCTCTTGGTACAGAAACATCTGCAGAAATTAATGCACAGATACATTCTGGACACCGGAGGTCTTGGGTACAATTTTCGAACACGTCTTAAAATTACTTACCATAATGGGGTAAAGAAAATGAAAAGGACATCAGAAATGCCAGAGAAATTGTTATTCTTCCAACGTGAACGTTCAGAATGACTCGAATGAGCTCTCGTCTATTCTAAAAGCCACAGCAAACTGGTTCCACATTGGGGATATTTAAAAAAAAAAAAAAAAAAACAAGCAAAGTTGTTTACACCAAATTGTGTAAAATGTTATCACAATCCCCATTGGAACAAGAGTGCTATGCTGTTCTGTAAAAAGCGGCACGGCATATCCTGTGTGCATGAGTACGTGTGTGTCTGTGTACGTGTGTCTCTAAAAGTTGCACGTGATGCAAATGTTAGACTGAAAGATCAGGGGGCGGGGCGGGGGGGAGGGAAGAGAAAAAGAACAGAAGATGACGTCTAGGTTTGATTTGAACCGTCAATCCTGCCGCAGCCGTGTTACCTTTTTGTGTGTGGGCAGGGTAAAATCACCTTAAAGTGACGTACCAGACACAGGCCAGCCAGTGAGCAACCAACATGTAGAAACAGAGCAGTAGAATGAGCATCGCGGCTCCATACTCCAGATACCGGTCTAGTTTTCGAACCACTCGGCCAAGGCGAAGCAACCTGACCACCTTCAGCGCTGAGAACAGGCTACCTATGCCGTCCTCGTCGTGGTCGAACGCGTTGAACACGTCGTACGGTAGGCAGCTCAACAGGTCGATGATGAACCATGACTTCAGGTAGTTCATTCGGATCACCTGTCGTTTTAGCAGAGAATTGGATCAGATGAAGAGGTTGTGGATCAAGTTGTAAAAGTGAATGAAATGTAAAGGCATGAGAAGAGGATGGTAATACTTTAGAAGGACCTCAAAATTAAATCTTACAATTAGATTATTAATACTGGATGATTTTAATCTGGTTTTTGGACTTCCAGTGGAATTGTGGGATCAGAGAAGCGATTCTTCAAAGTGCAAAATAAAATATTGAGAAGAAAGGGGACCTTTGGTGAAGAACAATACCACCACTGTACAAATATTGAATTATCCTGAGTTGAAAGCTAACTTCTAAACCTTTGAATATTTGTTGAATATAATTTTCGTTCATTCTCTATTTCAGTACTTACATTTTCATCTATACTGATCAGAAACCTATCACATTTTAGAATACATGAAAGTGAGACACGGCTGAACTTCCAGTTAGCTTAGGCTAATTGACAAAACATTCTCCACGGTGTGTTTGACTTTGGGGGTGAAGGTGTTTGTACCTTGGGGTCAGACACCACCTCGCCACCAGGGCCAACGAACGTGGTGTGAAAGTTGAGGACAATGTCGATGAAGAATATGACGTCGACGATGCTGTCGACGACCAGCAGAGAGACGTCCTCGCTGGTCTTGTTCTTGAAGGCGACGTTGTAGGGCACCATGATGGCCGTGTAAAAGGTCAAACATAAAATGATCCAGTCCCAGATTGCCTTGAACGCGCAATAATGTAACAAAATGTGCGGCGGGGTCTTTGGCGCCTCCTGTCTGTACTGCGGCATCACGTCGCCGCTTAAGGACATCATCTGAAACCATCAATCGTCGCTGCCTGAGTCTTTCCTCCACGCAAAACAATCTTCAGCATCAAACTTTCTTCGGCTCCTCTCTCTTTTTGCTACAAGTTATAATTTACTTATCTAGAAAGTTAAGCAACAAGTCTTAGCTTTTATTTCAGTCTATATCTTATTATACTTTTGTTTTAGTCAAACAGTTTGGTGTCATCATGCATGGTCATCATCTGAAACGTTGACAAACGTTGATTGTTCCTTCGTACAGAAAGTTTAAGCATAAAAGTATAAAAGGCTTCTCTTTCCTCCTACTGTGCACAAAGTTTCGCTCTTTGTTCTATATTCCTTCGTTTTGTATTTTTGTACTTTTTAGTTGAAGTAGCGAAGTTGCAGCGAAGTCGGTGAAGTTGATAAACGTGCCGGCGACTCTTTTGATGAATTTTGATGAAACGCGTGTGAAATTGCGTGATAAACGCGGAACGCGGCGGCGTGCATTTAAATATTACCGATTACAATAATCCAGCGATCTCGAACGCGTGCAAATCCCCTGGCCGGTCCGGTTAACATTTCGATGCAAATCTCTTCTAAACGAGAACGAATCCCCAGCGTGGTTAAATCTTCTTACGAGTATAAAATGGTAGCTGGATCGAGATATGAAAATAAAAAATTCTTCAGTTGGTTGAAGAAAAACATTTCGAAATTCGGAAATCGCACGGTACAGTCGAATTTCGAGAATTCAATTTTCCGATGAATTTTTCAAATTCCGAGTTCGTTCGATTCGTTTCAAATTTACATCTTCGTAACGATCAGTCTACCAATGACACTGCAAAATTTTCTCTCCCTGAAAATCGGAGATGTTACCAAACTGAAGAGATTAATTGAATCGACAAGTCGAAAAGGAGTACAAGCCCAATGATTTTATTTCAATTCTATATGTTTAAATTGGTATGCTGTTATAAAAAGCTTCAATGCTTTCACTTACATTTAATGCAAACATAGACACAAATGATGTTTATACATATAAAATTATACATATATGTTAATGCGTACAAATTATACATACAAGTACATGCAAGATATTCATTTTCATCAAAGTATCTCAAAACGTGATTTTTCTTTACTGTTCTTGAACTTACTGATTTCACTGATTTGTTAATAACCTAGTTGCATTTCAGAATTCATCCCATTTTTGAAACACAGGATATTGATACAAAAAATGCGTTTAAGTTAGAAGCCCACAGCTATATAACTTTAAGGCGCATGTACATGTGCAAATACAGGGTACTCCATTTTAATCTATAAATGCAATTGTCTTGTATTACTCTAAGAAGGCATGATTTGTACACTTATTTTGTTTCTAGATAGACAAGGTAAGGTGCAAGGAGATGTGAAAGTCACTACTATTTTTTCAAGTATAATTATGTATTCTTTTTTTACATCAACCAATGCAGGTTATTCTCTACAAAGAAAGTATTATCCACTAAAACTCATTAGTTTAGGAGATATTTCTTACAAAATCCACGTATACAAGAATATTGTTCTTATCTTTCATATGATAGGTTTTATAACCTCAAAGTTGAAGTATCTCAAACTAACAGTTTCTCTATATACGTAGGTTAATACTTTTTTCTACAAAAAAAAATGGCCTGCTGCGTCGACTGACTACAGAAAAATAGTAATGACCTTCATATCTCATACACGCATCTAAAAACAAACTAAGTGTACCAAATTATTGCCCCCTCAAAACAGAAAGAAGTGATTTTTGAGATCTCATTCGAGACATTTTTCAAACAATGAATATTTTAATAGGTTTAGAGATTTATAGGTTAAACACCCTGTTAATGCGCAACAGACTCAGGCGCATCAGGGCCCGACTGACGTCACGCATTTGAAAAACCGCGCGCGAAAGAAACAGGCAATTCGTTCGAATTAAAAGAACTGAATTCAATTGCGCTGAGAATGAGCAAAGGCTAAAAGTTAGGCTAAAAGGTGTTTCAATCAAACTTTTTAAAACGTGCTGCTCTTCTTAATTCGTCGATTCGATTAACTGATTGAAAGAGAAAGGAAAGAAAGGAGATATTTAGCATGCCAGAGCACATCTTACATGAGCTAAGTGTGACTGCTTCGCGGTGGTTGGCAACGCTGAATCCTTGAGGGCGGGCAGATGGGAGCTGAACTGTGACACAAGAACAGATCTCGACCTGGTGACCGATCTGGCGAGCTTGGCGAACTTCGAGAGGCCACCCTTGCTGTCGTCCGTCTCGATTGGCTGCTTCAGGGCAGTGATGTCCCGGAAGGTCAACAGGAACAGGACCACCAGGTCCCGTTCGTTTTTTATTGGCGCTATTTGTAGAAGCAGCCATAGTGGTGTTTCTATATATCCACAACAGAACGGAGAGAAGCGTCATTCATTGGTTAATTGCGATTCGACGAATTGCGTTCTATGTATATATATATATATATATATGTATATGTATATGTATATGTATATATATATATATATAT